CTTTATAAAAAAAAAAAAAAATTATTTAGCTATGATTTGTATGGATTTGGAAAGTTCTTAGGGCTTTTTGAGGCAAAATGCGCATAGTTAGAACTAGTCATGGCTGATTAGTTTTAGTTCATTCGGGAGATTCTTCCTTAGATTGTAAAGAGAAGTATTTTCAGTAAGATCTGGGTCAAAAATGGGTAGATTGATACTGGTATCTGCTTTTCTGAGACTAAAGAAGCTGTCTTTCATTACTTTTAATTTGAATTTTTACTTATTCTAACCAATGCAATTAAATTAATCTAAGTTAATCATAGTGGACCACTATTAGGTTTTACATTACTGAATGGCAGCAGTAACTTTAGTATCTTAAGTCTCTTGGCAAGGCATACACTTGTTAGATTTAATTCTTGTATTGTATTGTGTGGAAACTAAAAGTAGCTGCTGCAAATGGAGCTGTTTATCCTAAACAAAATCATGATCATGACCTATTGCAGCTTCATGACTAAAGTCTTAGGGGTTATTAGGGAATATTGGACAGTCGGACAACTAAACAACGGACTGTTTAACTACCTACTACTGGACCTATTGAGTTCTTATGCTTGATTGTACTTTATGAACTTGTATATTTGTAGCCAAATATTCCTTTTAGTGGAAACTTAGTTAATTAACATATCTTGACGCTCGGTTAGCATCTGGTTTCTTTTTGACAACTCATCTGTTGCTTATTACAGTGAACAATCCAAAAAAATCCAGCTCCACCCTAAACGAGACATTTCTTGGCCTGCTATATCCAACTGAAAACTACAAAGTGTGAGTAATACTTAACTCTTGATTTGCCTTAATGTATCTGCGTAAAATGGGTATGGTGTGGTGTGGCTGCTTCATATTATTTTTTATGATACACCAAAAACTTGCTTAGAAATGGATGTAGCCCATACCATATAAGTAACTGCAGATGCACTGAATATGAACCATAGTACCAGAGTCCACTTAACATAGCCTTTTGGGAATATATAAGATCATTGACATTTAAGCCTGTCTTCCTCCGTGTGCTATTATTTAACTTTCAGGTATGGTTATTTGACTAATACAAAGGTGAAACTCATATTGGTCACAACAGATCTTGATGTTCGAGATGCTGATGTGAGAAATGTAAGTGCTGATTTCTCCTTGTTTTGTTCTTACATTGGTTGACTACTTCCTCTTTCTCTGTACCAAACCAACATATCTGCTCTTATTGAAGCATAATGCATTCTTGTGTTAAAATAATAAATTTAGTGATCCGAGGTTGATAAAAATCTGAAAGAAGTGGAATTACTCTCGTCTTTTCTGAGTTGATTTGTATTTCGGAAATACCAAGTTATTGGAAGGTTTTTTTCTTCTTTGTTGCTTATGACAGAAAATAAGTATCCGAAAATCTTGTCTTAGTCCATTTTAGGTATATTCTGCAAAACTTACAGCTAAATAACGCTGACAAATATAACCCTCTTGTGTCTCAGATCCTTTAATAGTGCATCTTGTTACATTTGATGCCTTGTCTCCTTCACATTCCTGTTCCTTGTAACTCTTTGATGAGCTCTCAGATATTATCATTCTTCGCGGTGTCCGTCTGAGGCTGTTCAGTCTTGTTCTCTAAAATCAAGTGGATCCGTATATAAATGTGCGTCTCTCTGTGTGTGGCAAAAGAAGTCAGAGCCAGTTTTACCCGGTATCTTGAAACAGAAGGGGAACTACAATTTTGCGGAGTCTCCATTGTACTGCATTAGGATAGGTTTCTTTTATGATGATATGCTGTTAACGTATCTTCATCTAGACATTAGCTATTTCAATTTTTTAAGAGAAATATAAACATTAGCTATCTCCTCAAATTGGAAAACTTTCATGTAAAGAGTGAAGACATAGCTCCTACGTTTAACACCGCGAAGCAATGATAGAATATTACTGTTATCACATCCGTACAAATAAGTGCACTTAGGAAAAAGTTACGTAGAAAAACGTAGAACCAAAGTTTACTCATGTATGAACTGCTAAGAGATTCTAGTGTCCCTGGTTGCTAGCGTAATATGTTGCAGAAACAGTTATACCAGTTTGTATTTTGCCGAAGGGTCAGTCTTCCATAGTTAAAAAACAGTAAGGTGGTCCCTCGTTAGTAAAACTACATTAATGTATTTTATGCTACGAAAAGAATGGCTATCCAGTCTCCCAATGTAAAACACAAAAGCACTGTTACTGCAAACAAGATAATTTAATCCTGCAATTTGGTTAAATAGTACGTCTACATGAAAACTGGGATGAGGGAAATTGGGAATACTTTGTTTGAACGATACAATGGCTTTCATGTTGAAGCACATTAAGTTTCAGATGTTCTTTGGTGTGATGTATGTAATAATCAGCCTTTAGCATAGCAGCTTGCTTAATCTTTTTGGTGGGAATTTTTTACAGTTTTTCAGGAAATTTCATGCCGCATATGTTGATGCTGTGTCAAATCCATTTCATGTTCCTGGCAAGAAGATAACATCCAGAACTTTTGCTGAAAGGGTTAGCACTATCGTCAAGTCTTTTGGTTTGAGTTCAGCAGGTTGAATGACTGCTCTCAGAGTCATTTTGCAAGGCACTCCAGTGTACCTCTTCCCCAAGCCGATGGAGAAAGTAAGGATGAAGAGCATATTTGTGCAAACTCCTCTACTTCATTGCATATGGACTTCGAAGTTTATTTGAACATCTTGAGGTACTGAAGGATATTTGTCAAATTCGTTCCCTCGTGACAATAACCAAAGTAGATATCGTGTGAAGTAGGTAGTTACTGGTTTTGTTGGGTCATATTTACTTGCTAGACAGATGTGTTTGCTTTAAGTAAAGATATTTTTCGTTTGGAATTCTTTCAAGAAATAAAATGCAAAACATGTGGCCCATAATTACTGGAAATTTAAATGATAAAAGTAATAGTTTTGTGCAATCATGTATCAATTGTTCAAAAACCATCAGATCAAGCTGATCCACAATAGCGACCAATATTTCATAGCAAGTCTGATATGATAACCTAGAAAATAGAATAACAACTTGCAATATCAAGTTAAATTGCATTGATACTGTAAAAATTCTTCACATTGTCAGTATATATGACTTAATTCGAAATGGTACTCCTACAAGATGTTGGTTCTATTAAAAAGCATCTCTCTACGTCGCCACACTTTGTTTATTGCTCAAATTTTGTGGAAATCGAAGAGCATGGACAGCCTCATTGTGCATATTAAGACAGAAGGCAATTCTTGAGTTAAAAGCAATTTGAGGCTCATTTGTGGAGTAAACATCTCCAGTTGCTTTTGATACCAACCATCTATTGGCATGGTCTATTGTGGCATCAATTGCACCATCTCGAATTGCTTTGGCTACAAGGTTTTCAGCATCATCAACTGGATGTTCAGAATCCAAGTTTAGCTTCTTGGCAATGTCAGCCAGTGATATACGTGAGTACGCGGTGCTGATGTTTCTAAGCCCTGTCCTAATGACATTATGCCTGAGTCTGACAATCAAATTACTTGTTCTGTCTTGGCTGAATGTGCTGGAAAATTTCACAGCTACAGTTCTAAGTAACTCTAGATCTCCGACGCGAACAGCCTGCAAAGACAGATATTACAAAAACCAATTATATTGCTCAGCTTAAGTCAAGTTATTTATTTGCTCTCTAATGCTTTTGAATTTTGATCCTCCTATACTTACATTTGTTAGCTCAAAGTATGGCCTCAATGATTTCTCCATTCTTTTCTGTGTAAAAACAGTCCTCTCAGGGATCTCTCCAAGCAATAACTGGACAATAATAGCCCACTTATTGCATTGTATTTGGAAACCAACTGCAGTTACTGGACTTTTCTGCACAGCCTGTAGAAGAGAATCTTTGGCATCTGTGTAATCCAACTGAATTGTCTTGATCTTTCCCTGGTAGAGGAGGTATCGACAGAGCTGAAAGAAGAAAAAAAGACGATGCAAAGGAGAGAAAGCCATTGTGAGGCCAAGTAGTTCACAGAAATTTAAACGCGATCTATTCACAAGAAGTGAGATTAGTAACCTCGAAAATAAGGAATGTTACATGCTACAACATGTTAAAATAGTGATTTCTTTACACCGTTAGTGCAAAAAACTTAAATCGATAAACACCACATACCTGTTGGTTTGAAAGAGCATCAACACAGTGGGCCTTTGAGCGAAATTTTTCTGCTTGATCATACAAGTTGTAGTGAAGGTAATTTCTCAATAACAGATTGATAAGTGTTTCCTGCAATTTAACCAGCCAATAAACTATAACAGTTTTCAGTATATATCAAACACCAAAGACATGAATCAAATAATTTCACATACCTGACTCAACTTATTATGGCGTACTGTTGCAATTTGGTACAAAGCAAGCAGGTTACTGTTAGCAAACAATAGTTTCAATTAGAAAGAACACCAGTAGTAATAGCCAGAAAAAATTTAAACAAACTTACCCTCGAATTTCGGCGAAATCACCAGCAAATTCATAACTTAAAGAGTAGTAAAAGTAGAGCTTCGATGCAAGAACATCAGCAGTTCTGTTGTTCATGTTCTTTAGACTAACAATACTTTTTGAGGAACAAGCCTTAGCCTGAAGGTAAAACAAATGCTCAGTAATTCATGAAGTTGAGTAGAGATATCAGATATCCTTATAAAAGGGAAACCTAGTAAAAGACACAACAATTTTGCCTCACCTCATTGTATTTCTTCTGATCAATCAGAAATATTAGAACAAGCAAGTAGCAATAGATCTCAAGCTCAGGCACCAGATGTTTTGAATGGGCTTCTGTTGCAGGCATTTCCACATCAACTTGGGTGTCATATTTATCCTGCTATAATCAATATAAGAATTCATAGAGCAAAGATATTACATATCAATACACACACAGAGGGGCGGATGCACGCTTACCGAAGTGGTATCACGCGAAACCGCTTCGTCGGAAAATTTTACTAAATATATGTATTAATATTGTACGGAAAAAAATGACACCACTTGACATAAATTATGTCTTGGTGTGTTGGTTATGTATTTTCTCTAGGAGGTCAAAGATTCAAACCTCAACTAGCACATTTTTCTTTTTCAAATATTTGAGAGAATTTTTGTGGTTAAAAATTGTGATGAGTAGAATTGAATTCATGACTTTTTCTAACTTAAGACTCAACAAAACCGATAGACTAAGGCTATTTCTTGTCCGAAAGTATGATAATCAAAGTTATATTCCAGTTCTTCTATAAATTTCGACGCCGCTTATAAAAATTCTTGCGTACGACCCTGCGCGCGCACACGTACATGTCAAACAATTAAGCAAGATTAACAAATAGAAGAATGGTTATATGAGAAACTAAGTAGAGCCTTTGTACATAAAAGACAAGTAGAAAATGGTGGATTTTATGTTTATTTCCAAGTTTAACATGCAAATAGCTATTTACTACTACTAATTTACCTGGGGCAGGTATGAAGATAGCTGTGCATGGACCTCAGAAACAGGGCCAAGAGCATAATTCAAGAAAGCAGATAATATTGAAACCTTTAGTTTCCTCCTGAGTTTCATGGTCAATCTCATAGCCTTGTATATCTTCCTTACTTCACTTGTATTTGCTCCACTCTCAATCAATGATGCTATCTCCTTCAAATCTAGCTTCAAAATAGTACTAGTTAAAAATGCAAAAAAAAAATAAAAAATAAAAAGCCAGCCGGATGCACTAAGCTCCCGCTATGTGCGGGGCCGGGAAAGAGCCGGACCACAAGGGTCTATCGTATGCATTTAGCCTTACCTTACATTTCTGCAAGAGGCTGTTTCCACGGCTTGAACCCGTGACTTCCTAATTACATGGGAGCAACTTTACCAGTTACGTCAAGTGGTAATAGTGCAACACGTGATATATGAGTTAGGCACCCGTAAACGAACCATGTAACATGAATATTTATACATGTGAAGATAGAGGAACATACCTTGTAATACAGAAGGATCAACTGAGCAGTCATACACAGAAGGAGCTGATTGATCTTCAATCTTAACCGTTCGATTCGTCTTGAAGAATACTTGAGAAATCAAGACAACAACCATTGCAAGATAGAAAACAGAGATAAAAGCTAAAAATTCCATGGTTGAAGTACAGGATGTTACGTTGTCAGATACTGAAAAGTGAACTAGTTGTAGAAAGAAGGATTTGAACTTGACGTGTAATTATTAAGAACAAAAGGAAAAAAAAAGGAAAAAAGAGAAAGGGTGATTATGCTAGATGCTTACCACGTTTGGGGTTTTCTTCTACTTTAATTTTCTATGGAATAACAATACATTTACCATAATTATTTTTGGCTTTTTTTCTAAAAGGGAAGTATAAATCTTCCTTATTCAGCACTGGAAGAAAATGTAATGAATTCTTATAAATTGAAGTTCTTTCCTTTTCATTTGGCATCATCATAATGTAAATACATGTTTTAGCTCACTTTGATGAATTTCTTTAATTAATGGAGTAGAGAATTTCATGATAGAGATACGTTTATACTCTCTTTTGTATTCTGTTATGATTAAATTTTTCGTTCTCTTTAATATTTCTTTTTCTGTCGTCTGATTTATAATCATTTTAGAGTTTACTTTGTTAATTTTTGCCTAACGAATTAGAACTAGATTTATGGAATGGTTCGATGACTTGCTTTAGCTAGAAGTTTAAGAGAACATTTGTTCCATAAACAATAGAGAAAGGGGGAGATGAGCTGAGTTTTGAAATTCGTTGATTGAGAATGAAGAAAGGTCAAGCAATGAGAGAGTGCATGGCTTCTCACTTTAGACGTATGTGCAAACTGTATGATCTTTTGTATTAAAAAAAAAGGAAAAAAATTATACTCCCTCATCCCCTAAAGAAGACATTATAACTCCTATCATTTATGAAGTTCAATAATTTTTTATTTGAATTTTCTGAATTACTTTTTATTTTTTAACTACAAAGAATGTGATTCGTGATCTTTTCATAAACATGTAAATTTTATATGGTAATCCCATATTGTAAGATTATTCTTCTTGAAATAGAATGATTAGTTGAATCTTATGTACCAACTAAATTTCGATCTTGAAAAATAATAATCAAGACAAGAAATATAGCGATAAATATTATATTCAATTTCAAGCGATAGGGTTACAATCTCTAAATCTAAAAAGATGTAGTCCTCTGATTCTTCTCCTCACGGACGATGGTTCGAGATCTTGAGAGCTTGATCTTGAACTTGACGGATTTCAGATTTGTAGTACGTCACGAACAATTTGAAGATTGTCAGAACCAGGATTTGGTGTTGAGTTATCACGAACGGAAGATTTGAAGTCGTCTGCCTATGACTTGAGTTCGCCTTTGGAATTTGACCACAGACGACGATTGCAGATATGGATGGAGACCTTGATGCTATTCTTCAGAGATTCTTTAGCCTTTCCTTCTGCTTACTTGCTTGTCCCTTAGCCTTCTCCTTTGACCCATTTATGTAGGTGTGGGGTGGAGTAATCTTCAAGAAAACCTTAGTGGATCATTGGGCTTGAGGCATATGGGCCGACCCATTTGATAGAAGACCAATTGACAGGCTAGCCCAATAATATATTGGACCTTTATTTAAATCAATTTAATTGAATTTAAATAACAAACCCAATTATACCAGTCCATGTTACTTAATTGGACCCATATATATTTAATTTGTGGTAAAATCCAAATTTCTTATGGATTTAAATTTGACAAAAAATTTTAATTGTCCACAAATGCCCCCTACTTCAAGGCTTGACGGGATGTAAGCTTGCGAAAATGAAAGACAAGACTTGAAGTATATGTGAGAAGAACAGTTCAACACGTTATACTATTTACTTTCCTTTTTTGATTTGGAGTCTGAT